CCATTTGACCTAGCTTCAATGGCTAGATGATCAGAACTTGACTAGAGGAAGAAAAGAGAGGGAAAGTGTAATCTGCTGCAATTTGTTGAACTTGACCTATACTTATGGATGAAGTAGCTTAAAAGGGGGAACGAATTTTTACAGCAAGAATCATTCCTAGCCCCTTGGTACACAGGGTTGACAGGGATGGGCAACTTAGACATTGGCTATCCAAAATGGGGGGCAGGAAAAACGTGCAAAGGCATTAAGTGACTGGTTTACAAGTTTTCAAGAGGGTGCGGGGAAGGTAGAATCTCCACTGAGTGTTTTCCAACCTTTCTAAACAAGGTAGGTGAAAGGAGGTGTGGATAAGACTCTTGTGGCTCAATAGTGAATAATTTCTATCAGGACTGATTGTGAATGTTGCCAATTTAAAGGTAGACATTTTGTAGCAAAAGAAAAAGAGTGGTTGATTTTGCTGTCCAGAGGGGGGGTACCTGGGACCATCAAGGGAGAAGAGCAGAATGAGGGACCTATCCAGAGAAGCAGTGATGCCAGAGATGGAAGCAAAGACAATGATGTGGAAAGATGGAGTGGCTGGGACTCTGGACTCAAGCAGGGAAAGGAGTTGTGTGCTGATGGCTGAGTGACAGGCTTGTAGGGTATACCCTTTGGTTGTTTGAATGGTTATGTATTCCTAAGTAAGTACTTCAGTGTACATCCAAAAAGAAAACCAAAAAACAGAGGGAATAGAAGCAAACGCTGTTGAATGATGATGCATGGAGGGGATTGTAATCATTGCAATGAAACAAAATGCGATATAAAGTTGATGTTCTCTCATGTAAACTATCACTCAATTCACTATAAAAACTTAAAAAAGAAAAGCCTTTATGTAGTTGACACAAAAAGGACCTTAACAATAAGATTTATTTTTGATTGTTCTAATGGGAATATAACAGCTAAACTTAAAGTGAAGTATAAAGACAAAGAGGCTTGCTGAACACTGTTTTTCAACAACCAAAAAATGATATGATTCAGTAGATTGAAAATACCATGTAAAAGTTTAGAAAAGATTTAGTACATTGCTTAGGATAAGATTAATAAAAAGATATTTAACCTCATATCAAAAATCTTCCAAGACGTCCTAGAAATATATCTGATACAATTGCTGAATTAATGTTTTTCCATAATGCAGTTATAAATTTTCCACAAAATGGAAACTATAAAACAATTGCTTCAAACAAATTAAGAGTTCCATGGAAAGGCAGCAAAAGACAAGATATACTGCTCATTTAATATTTCAAAGATTAAAACAAAAATAAAACAACTCATCTACATTTAAGCTTCTATAACAATTGCCCATAAAACCTTAGCTCTCCCTTAGATCTCCCATCTTTTGTCCATATGTATGTGTGTGCACTTTTCTGCTCCGAAAAAGTTATCCTTTATCTATTTAAAAAAAAAATTTTTTTTGCACTTTTCAAAGTTTTTATATTGAGTGATATTCTTTCTTGGGATCCTCTCCTAAGCAAATGAAGACACATTTTTCTTTCTATAATTTATAATTCCCCAGAAAAGACTCATTCTAAGGAAAACCAGGAATTATACCATTACATCATCTGTTATATGCTATTTATTCACCAGATTATTTTACGGATTAAACGCCACCAATTGAAGGCCAATGATTAAACAGTATGGACAAAGCAATTGGATTAGGAACAGACTGTTTAGGTAGGGCATGGAAACTAAGGTGGTTTGTAAAAACAAAAAGGCTTCGTACTTAGTCTAACTCATAGAGACCCGGTATAGGGTTTCCAAGGAGTGGCTTGTGGGCTTCAACCTCTGAACTTCCAGTTAGCAGTCCAGTGCTTATCCTACAGCACCTCACCAGGACTCCTGGGTAAAGAAAACAGTGTTTCTAAAGATAAAACCAAGCAGATACCACAGTTGTTGGTATCTTTCTGGCTAGAATACATCTTTTTATTGTTGTTGTTAAGTGCCTTCAAGTCAGATCTGACTCATAGCTATCATGTATCATATTAATGAGGAGCAGCTGGTGGGTTTGAACAGTTAACCTTCCAGATAGCAGTCCAGTGCTTATCCTACA